GCAATTGTTCCTGCAGCTATGTTATAGTTGCTCAGAGAAATTACTCTGGCTTAATGACACAAGTATCAACAGCAGTTTTGGAAGGCTTTATAGTGCTTAATCCACTTAGGAATGGCCACCAGGCTGGGGGACAGAAGGCTCCTGACCAGACCTGGGCAGCAGGTCTGGGCTGTGACATACACTTCAGTGACTGATGATAATGAGCAGAATTCTGATCTCATCCTGATTAGGTTTTCATGTTACCCTGTGCCCCAGCCTGGCCAGTTCACCCACTGCTGTATCTAAAGCCATGGACAAGGATCTGCTGGGGCCCAGCTGACAGAACTGAGCCTGGCTGTGAGCCTCCTCTCCCCCTGGGGCCTCTGCAGAGTTGTAACCCATTCCTTCATGTTAAGGCAGGCTCAACTAAATGCCTAAGACATTCCAGATAACCTTGTTCTTAAAACCCTGTACCACAACACACAGAGTTTATTCCCTTTCTCCTGAAGCAGCACATTTCAAAATGGTACAGTGTCCTCAGCCTTCTCCATGCAAATCTCTTTTCCTGCAGGCACTGTTTTCTACATACTTGGTGGGTTTTGTTCTCCTCTGCACTTCCTCAGACTGATCAAAACCTTCCCAAGTGCAGACTGCCTTAAGAAAAACAATGCTTAGATGAACTTTTACAACAGGTCTTTGAGTCTTTCAGAAAAGGAATTGCAGCACCACTCTGTTTAGATCCTAAATAGTTCAGAGATGTCACCATACTTGGCCTGGTGAAAATCTGAAGGGAGCTCTAGGTATCTACATGATAAATACTGAAACAAGACATTTCTTAGCAGTCACCAAAGTAGTTTCTTTGTTAGTTTGATAACAGCTCTGGACTCAGCCATAGAAAAAGGCAAACCCAGCAGTGGAGAGAAACAGTTTGAAGTCTTCTAAAGGTCTGGACTTGTAAACATAAAGCAGGAGTCCTCCTGCCATCAAAGGTGTGAAGTAACTGAAATGGCTTATAAAAACATGACATTCCGGAAAGAATAATGATAGGTTGGTTTCCTAAAGGATACTGATGGGCTGATTTTTTCAAGCATGGTTTTAGCACTGCCCTGGAAGGCACTGGAGTGTTTTTAAAGGAACATTGTCTTGAAAGAAGTCCACAAAAGCAGAGAGTAAACACAAGAGCCTGGATTCCCCATGTGACTGGAGTTAAGGAGGAAAACTAGTCACAGACAAGAAGAAATAAGAAGCAGAGATTCAGTGAGGACCAACCAAGATCTAGAAGACACGAAGGTTTGATCTGACAAGCACCTTAAGTCTATGAAAGCTGGGATGACTAGATGACATGTTGGGCAATGGTAACAGCAAGAAAGGAGGTGAAGTTTATCAAATCAGGAAAACTTCTCACCTTCTCCAGCTCCAGAAGACACTCAAGATCAGCTGAAACTAACACCCTGAAGAAGACAGAAGAAGCAAGTAGATCAGAAAGTAATGCAGACTGCTCTGCAAGCAGGAACAGAAGCACACAGGGATCAGAATTTATGTGGCAGGTTGTTGGCCACCAGAACAAGGCGGCTTCTAGCCTCTGAGGCAAAAGCTCCAGCAGAAAAGACAGAAGATTAGAGCCTTTAGACAGGGGTAATACGTCATTGACCTTACCAGAGCTAGCAGAAGCAATAACATTCTGCTCCCACTTTATTGAGGTCAAAATGCTTAAAGCAAGAGAATCACAGAGAACATAGCAATAAACCTGCCTGGGAAAGCATATGATGTCATGGCAGGATGCTGTCACTGAGCTCATGACAAGCAAAGTCAGCAGCATTTCCCAATGACCCACGGAGGGAGCAGCCCTGTCACAGGCTTCTCTGTGGCCTAGAATGTCAAACTGGATCTCTCGTTTGTGGGCCAGAATGACAGTGCTTCTTGAGTCACGCTGCCAGGAACATCCTAAACCCTGGAAAAATGAACCTTAGTGCTAACCTCTACACTTGAAATGTCATTGCTGTCATATAAGGCAGAGGGATTTGGTTCTTCCCTGCCTGTGCAGGATATTGCTGTCAACTTGTCACTATATCTTACACATAAATACTTCAATTTTCCTCAGTAAATCGCTCCTTAACATCACCAGCACAAAGTGTGGCAACTCTTGGCTGCCTTCTTTTGAATGCCAATGGAGCTTTGATCTTAAATTTGTGCCTATCCCATAGCAGTTTCATCTCTATCACAGTCTCCTGAATTACTTTTATTATTAATCTTGAATTTCATGCTGTGTATCAATCACAGGACACATTTTCCTATCAATGAGAAATCAAGATGATGTGAAAAAAGCACGTTCTTTGCAGACTCATCTTAGTCCTCTTTGTTCTTCCCCAGATACTTAAACACTTCGGATTTTAATATTTAATGCACCGATTTTCCAAATATCTCTACAAATTCTTATCAATTCATTTTTAAAGCCTTTTATCCCCCACAGCAAACAGTAAGAAATAAACTTCAAATCTCAAGGGTCTTCCTTGATTCCACTGAGTTCATCAACTGATTATAATTTCAATGTTCTGCTAATTTATTCACTCCATAGTGCAATAAACTGCCACATCTTTCAGTATATTGAGGAGACAGCAAATAAAAAGGAGGGAAGGGGAAAAGAGAAAGCAAGGAAATGAGGGGGCCTTAAGTGCAGCTATTTCAGTACAAACTTCCTTTCAGCCTTTGGACAACTGAACCCCAAATCCATGGACTTCAGTTTCCTGAAAGATGTGGCACTTCACAAAATTACTGTGCATCCTCTGACCTTTGCAAGTATGTAATGCCAGATGAAAACCTGATATTTTTGGCTACTATTTTCACCAAAAAAGGTGAAACCCTGCCTGTTTAAGGCATTAAATATGGTAACATTCACCACACTGCACGGCTGTGTCAGGGGGCAAGAAGAAATGCCAATCCTAACATTAAATGTCTCTCATCACCACAAATTCTCCCAATTTAAATGACTTTGACATGAATTTCAACTTTTCCTAAAACAGGCAAGTAAGATTTTTCCAGTCTGCGCAAGGCTTTTAGAAAACTCATGACAAAGATCATTTCATGAGTGACCTCACGGCCCTCTTCAATTCCCTGCCAGGGGCTGGAGAAAGGTGGGGGATGTCTCTCCTGCCATGGCTGCAGGGAGAGGTCTAGAGGGAATGGCCTTGAGCTGAGTAGGGGAGAGTCAGAGGAGATGTTAGGAAAATTTTCTTCACTGTTAGGGTGTTCAGGCACTGGAGTAGGGAATTTCCCAGGGTGGTGGAGTCACCATCCCTGGAGGTGTTGAAGAGGTGTCTTGATCTGGTGCTGGAGGATATGGTTTAGGGTTTAGGGGTGACAGCAGTGACAGGTTAAGGGCTGGACTTGGTGATCTTAAGAGATCTCCTCCAACCTTGACGGTTCAATGATTCCATTAGTGAGGAGTTTGGAGTTGTAATAGATGTAAGTTCTCTATGGAATTTCTTGTTCTTCAGTAGAAAACTGCCAAAATTCAGTCATCAATAACATGAATTGGTTGTTGTTACGCATTATATTCTAGAATAGATAACATCTGTATATCTATATAGATATATATATCTATATATTTCTAGGTAAATCTATAATAGATCATATCCTATATATCTATCATATATATATTATCTTACATTATCTATTGTTATCTATATTATTATCAACCCTACTTTTTCTCACATTAAAGCACATATCACTCCATTTGCTGAAAATAATTATATTACTGTTTGCCTTTTCACTTACCAGACATGAAGCTGGGCTACTAGAAACCAGGAATTCAAAGTATCAGGCATTTGGCACCCTTGATGGGAGAGAGGAAAAAACCCACAGAAACAAAACTCAGTATTAATATGAATTTGATCACATTTTTGCCTAACAGACATTCACTACCCCAAATCCAAATGCACTTTAGTAATGTAATTGCAGCAATAACAGTACACAGACATTGGAAGCAAACAATTTTTGTCATCATTTGTGCTTGAACTCTAGAACATGCAGGCACAGGACAGTGCAGATTCTGAAAGATTTCAGGTGCTTTAGAGTTCACGTGAATAATATTGGAGGGGGGAAGGGGTGACAAAATGAAGAATGAGACAAACACATGGCTTCTAGCTCAGAAAGTCCCAAGGCAGTGGGATGAATCAATGGATGCTTTGCTTCCTTCTTACACTCTTCCTTTACACATGCTGGGACAGAACTCAGTGCTCTCTGGGTCTCTGCAGTGGTTCCACTGCCCCGACCTACTCTATGGCTGCACAGCCCACAGCCCTCTGAGCACACCCTGCCTCCAGCCAGGCTACATCAGCATTAAAACCTCCAACCAACCACAGAAACAATCTGTTTCCAGATTTAGCTCTACTCTGATAGCCACTGGTTTTCCCAGAGCTGGCCTGTCCACACGGAATCACAGAATGAGTTAGGTTGGAAGGGACCACAGAGGGTCATTGGTCCCACCTCCTTGCTCCAATAGGGCCATCCCAGAGCACATGGCTCAGGCTACATCAGCATTAAAACCTCCAACCAACCACAGAAACAATCTGTTTCCAGATTTAGCTCTACTCTGATAGCCACTGGTTTTCCCAGAGCTGGCCTGTCCACACGGAATCACAGAATGAGTTAGGTTGGAAGGGACCACAGAGGGTCATTGGTCCCACCTCCTTGCTCCAATAGGGCCATCCCAGAGCACATGGCTCAGGGTTGTGTCCAGACCAGACAGTCTCCTCCATGCTGAACAGCCCCAACTCCCTCAGCCTTTCCTCATCAGTGAGGTGCTCCAATCCCTTCAGCATCCTCCTTGACTTCCACTGGACCCATTCCAGAAGTTCCAAGACCCTCTGGTTCTGAGGAGCCCAGAACTGGACACAGCACTCCAAGTGTGGCCTCACCGGGGCTGAGCAGAGGGACAGGATCACCTCCCTGACCTGCTGGCAATGCTCTTCCCAATGCATCCTAGGATTCCATTGGACTTCTTAGCCACAAGGGCACACTGTAAGTTCATGGACAGCCTGTTGTCCATCAGGATCCCCAAGTCCTCCACAGAGCTACTATCCATCTCTGTGTTCACACGATGGACCTCCATGTGCTCTCAGGATGTGAGACTGGAGATTTAGGCCATGTCCTAGAGAAACCATATCCCTCTTCCTTATGCTGGGAAAAAATGGACCTATCTGTGCATGTTAAGTCCTTCATTTCCTGTTAATCCTAAACCTTTCTCCCAGGCACTCACCTCTACATCTGTCTCCTGGAGAAGTTTTTAGGGAAGTACCTAATGAGATGGATCTGACACAGCCACCCTGGCCTACCCAGCACTTGGGCTGGTCTTCTGGGCTGGTCAAAGCTGGCTGTTAGGCCAGAGAGCATTCAGAAATTGACTCTCCAGTCAGATGTGGTCCAAGGAAGTCAATCTTATCTTTCCTATGTTGAATATATTCCTTCCTGACTCCCATACTTCTTGGCTCTCAAGTATTACCAAGGAGATTCACTTGGATCATTAAACAATACCTTCACAGCCTCTTTCTTTTTACATGCAAACTCTGGTTAGGGAACCACCAGAAGAACCAAACAAATCATCACTATTCCTCCCTCCTCAGAGCGATGACTCCATCAGCCCTAGGAGGTGCCAAGTTTCAGCATCAGTGCCCATACATCACCTACACCACAAGCAAAGACACTAACAGTCTGTGTTTAAAGATTAAACACAAGTTTCCCTCATCCTTCTCCCCGTTTGGCCCTCTCATTCCTATCAGGTGCTTAGAAATGACTACTTTGACCTAAAGCCAGGCCAAGGCATCTCTAACTAGGGCAAGAGCACACAATGATTGCATTAACCAAACCATTTCAGTGAGTGAAGGTTCCACAGGCAAGAGTCAGTCAAACACTTAACTAACAGACAGAGGTTTCTACAGCAGGAGTTCCCATGGCTCAGTCCCCACCACAGATATCATTCTCCAGCGGAAAGCAAAGCTCATACCTCAACTTCTGGAAACATGGAAAGTTTTTAAAGACCTACTCAGTACCCAGGAGGGAAGAATATTTTTCTCTGACTTTTCAAATCTTGCAAGACTATTTTTATAAATAATTTTTTAGCTTCTATATTAGGATTGTCTACATGGTAAATTTCAAGAAGGGATCATAGTATCATAGTATGTTAAGGGAAAGCAAAGCTCATACCTCAACTTCTGGAAACATGGAAAGTTTTTAAAGACCTACTCAGTACCCAGGAGGGAAGAATATTTTTCTCTGACTTTTCAAATCTTGCAAGACTATTTTTATAAATAATTTTTTAGCTTCTATATTAGGATTGTCTACATGGTAAATTTCAAGAAGGGATCATAGTATCATAGTATGTTAAGGGGTTGGAATGGAGCTTAAAGATCAGATCAAACCTTCTCTTCTCCAGGCTGAACAGCCCCAACTCTCTCAGCCTGTGCTCGTAGGGAAGGTGCTCCAGTCCTCCAGCTTTGTGGCCTCCTCTGGACTTGCTCCAACAGTTCCATGTCCTCCTTATGCTGGGAACACCAGAACTGTGTGCAGTACTCCAGGTGGGGCATCACCAGAGCAGAGGGAGAGAATCCCCTCCCTCACCTGCTGCCACACTCCTTTGGATGCAGCCCAGGACACAGCTGGTTTCTGGGCTGCGAACTCACACTGCAGCTCATGGGGAGTTTGTCATCAACTGTCACCCCCAAATCCCCTGGGACAATCCCAGGGCTTGCCTCATTAACTTCCCCACCCAGCCTATAAGTGTGTTTGGGACTGCCCTGACCCAGGAGTAGGATCTTGCACTTGGCTTTGCTGGACACCATGAGGCTGGCAGCAGCCATCACTCAGCCTGTCCAGGTCCCTCTGGATGGCACATTCTTTCCCTCCAGCCTGTGACTGCACTACACACTTGGTGTTGTTGGAGAACTAGCTGAGGGAGCTCTGATCCCACTGTCCATGTGCCCACAGAGACGCTGAACAGTGTCAGCCCAGGCACTGACCCCTGAGGGACACCACTCCTCACTGGCCTCCTCGTGGACAAGGTGCCATTCAGCACAGGTCTTTGCTTGCAACCATGGCTCTTTTAGAGCAACAAGCTTGTCCCTCAGCTCTCAGCTTTGTGAAAAAAATGCAACTCTGAAATCTGGGGGCTTGGAACACCTTATCCTGGGAAACTAACTGGGGAGAAAAGTCCATTCTACAATGATACAGAAAATTATTCCTTTCAGCATACATTTTAGATATAGAAAAAAATGTCTGGTGGTAGAGCTACCTGTGAAATTGCTGTGATATTAGTAGCTGAGGAATAAACCTGTTGTGTGCAAACACATCCTGTCCACATGTCTGGTACCATAAGAGACATGAATGCTCAGGACTGTGAGGACATGCCTCTTCCTGTAGCCATACTCTCCACTTAAAATTCATCAGGTAAGGGATGCAAATCTTGACTGTGGACTTTTTCATGACAGATCATCTTGGCCACTACCACAATTTTAGGAAGGATGCAATGGGATAATATTCCCACATCCTGCATAAAACAGATGCACTATGTCAGTGTTCCCTTGAGCATGGCAGGCAGCAGCAAGTGCCCAGAAGGCACCTGATGGGCTGTGGGAGACAGGAGAATCCTGTAGGTAAACTAGCCCTTCGGAGCTGCTTGGTTGCCCCACTAGGTGCCATCAGGAAAGCTGTTTTTGTAGGGCCAACTCTCTACTGCTGCAGCAGCCTGACAGGAGATCAATCTGGACAATGCTCTCAGGCATATGGTGGGATTGTTGGGGTTCTCCCTGTGCAGGGCCAAGAATTGGACTTCATGATACAATTCAGGAGATTCTGTGATTCTGTAATTAGCACTACTAACAGTTCAAGAAGAATTCAAGGTAAACCTACAGTCCATGCTCATCAGCCTAACTTCAGCTTGGCTCTCCAGCATCATCTGCCTGATCCTAAAAGTTCTTCTGACCTTCCAAGTATGAGGTCAGGCACAAAGCACTCTCCTCATAGGTGGCTGCCTCATGCCTTTCCTTAGAGCTACCCAAGCTCTGTGCCAATCCTGGCACCAGTAACTATTCCCTCTACTCCTTCTCTCTTCTCCTTTAAACAAGAAACAGCTGAAGTCCTAAAATAGCTCTGCTTTCTACATAAGCAGCACAGTACAGACATTTGGGATACAGGCTCTAAGGCAGAGTTCCCAGAGTTTTGTCCAGGAATGATCACAAGCCCAAGAGACAAGAGAATGGAAGGTGTAATAAAATCAACTGCATAAAACATTGGAGAGTCTCAGTTAAAACACCTCCTTTATATCCTCCAGTGGCCTCCTGACTTGCATGTCCAGAGTCTGTATTTTGTGAACCGCTGTTCTGAGGTATAATACAGAGTCAGGCAGTTCATAGGGCTCATACTGTGCCACAGAAAGGCTTGGAAATTCCACTGGGTGTGGGCAAAAATGCAGTAAGATAGGAGGAGAGGCTGTAAGACGTGAAATGCTATCACTGCCCTAGGCCTCATCACCACACTATCCACTCTTTACACTGTCACCTGTGTCAGAGAACTACCTGACAAATTCCACACACTAATTCAAGTTCCCTAAAATCACAGGGCAGCTGTTAGTCATGTCACAACACCACCACACCACAAAGGCAGGTCCAGAAGCACTGGAGAGGGCTCTGTGAAGAACTGGCTCTGAACACTCAGGGTTAACAAGCCCACGAGTGGTTTCACATATGCATGGCTGTAGGTTTCCAAGGTCAGCTCAGCAGATTAACAGTACTCACACATGGCAGAGAAAGAGCTAATAAGCTCTCCAGAGAGCAGAGCTGACTCTGTGCAGTTCACTTGCATATCAACACCTTGCAGCTAGACCCAGAAGTGCTGGGGGCAGCAGAAACACACCACAGATCTGCACACAGCCAGCTGCCAGGTCCCAGGCAGCACCAGTCCTGCGCTCAGGGTGCCCCAGCCATGCACTACATCAAGGTGGTGTGCAGCACCCATATCACCACAGTCTCAGCCTCACCTCTGCTTGCTGTATCACCGAGGTAAGAGTTAGCGGCTTCCTGTTCCTACCAGCCCCCCAGGCACTCTTTCAGGAGAGAGCAATGGGCTGAAGCCATGTCCATCTTAAGTTGAAAAAAGCAGCAATTCAGAACGTAAAAACCAGCTCCGGACTAACCCCGTTTGATGAAGAAATGGTGACTTGAACTGCAAGTTCAGTACCTTGCTTCATATGCTCCCCTCTTGGAACTGTGTACTCCTCAGCACTTGCTCCATGCCACAGCTGCTCTCCACCAGAGCCTTCCTTGTGCCACTTGAACTCTCTAATATAGCAAACTGGAAGGTCCTAAAAACTGGGCTGATTTGGGCTCCTTCCTCTCAGTGACCTTGAACAGTTCACCAAGGACATAATGGTCCAGTCCTGAACGTGGGCAGAGGAAGATGATGTTTCATTTGGCCACTACTTTGACTCAGTGCCCATGGAATCTCCCAGAAAGCTGCATTTCTGAGTAGACACAAGTAACAAACTTCCCTCTGTTCTGACATGAAAGCAATGATGTCTTTGGGACCACAAGCACGGATCCCAGCATAACAGATGTTCTTACACCAATGGGTGCACCATGCACTCCACCAATCCCAGCAAAATAAACTGCTTTGTTTCTTAGGTACCAACTACCTAAAGTCAATGCAAACATACGTTACTGTTCAAAATACATGTCTTCTGTTTAAAACAGTAAAACAACATCAAAGCCACAACAACTGAAGTTATTTTACACAGTACTGAGCTTGAAAACTTTCACAGACGTTGTAAAATTCCTTTAAATTTTCATCTAGGGCAACACTTCTCTTTCTTTGTACAATAAAGCTGTACAGAGATAACCCAGAGATGATGAAACACCAGTTCAAACCAGCAAAGTCCCTGTTTGAGAGGTAAATACCACAAACAGAAGAAAACTTATCTGAGTTAGTCCTAGGAGGGCACAGATGGGGAGAGGAGTGCACACAGGGACAATGAAGCTCTCAGTCTTTGATCACTACGGATGAACCCTACTGCTCACAGGGTTCTCTCACTCCTGAGACGGCTGAAACCACATCACAGATTTGAAAAACCTGAAAGCCACTGGAAAATCTTGTGGCAGCAACGCCTTGTAACAAACCACCCTCAATAAGCTCTACAGTAGGTGAAGATGTCCCTTCAGCTGAGCTCTCAAGAGGCAGCAGCAGCAGCCCCAGCCTGTGCTGTAAGAAAGCATTTAGTAGCTCAAGAATCCTGATGCCAGGCCAGATGCAGGAAAGAGATTTCCTACCAGCTAATCACACTGACAGGGGAAATAACTCACATAAGAATAAAGCTCGAAGCTTGTTGAGGTCTCAAAACCACATATTCCCCATACACCAGCCAGATTTGATGCCACTCAAAGCAGCAACAGATTTCATAGTTAAAAAGCTGTGTACAACATGGAAAAGTCATCCTAATCCAAGTCAATATCATCCTTATGTATCTAAAGGAGGGACCTGGGTCTCTGTTCTAGTCACATCCTCTACCCAGTCAAGGGTTCTGATTTAATGCTTCCACGGTCAGTAAAAATGTACAAAGCCTCTAAGCTGTAGCCAAACCTGCCCCAGCCATGAGAACAGAGACAGGTAGGACCCTGTGATGTGAGCCTGTAGCAGAGCATCAGTGGATGGGAATGGTTCTCATACCTGCATCCTGGTGATAATGGAAATGGGACAGGGCAGGATACTGAGACTATCTGAACAGAGTAAAAATGGATAATTGGATTCTTACAGTTTCATTGTATGCTAAAGGGTTGGACTGGACTTTAAAGATCATCCAGCCCCAACCCCCTGCCCTGGGCAGGGACACCTCCCACCAGAGCAGGTTGCTCAGGGCTTTAGCCAACCTGGCTGTGAACACTGCCAGGGTTGGGGCAGACACAGCCTCCCTGGGCAACCTGGGACAGTGTCTCACCACCCTCACAGCAAAAACTTCTGCCTGATACCTAAATTTCCCTCTTTCAATTTCCCCCCATTACTTCTTGTCCTGTCCCTGCAGTTCCTAATCAAGAGTCCCTCTGCAGCTTCCCTGGAGCCCCTTCAGCTCCTGGCAGGTTGCTCTGAGGTCTCCACACAACCTTCTCTTCTCCAGGCTGAGCAGCACCAACTATCTCAGCCTGTGCTCATAGGGAAGGTGCTCCAGTGCTCTGATCAGCTTTGTGGCCTCCTCTGGACTTGCTCCAACAGTTTCATGTCCTTCTCATGTTGAGGACACCAGAACTGTGTGCAGTTCTTAGTCCATCCCATCCCAGTAATAAAAATAGGCAATATCCTTCAGCCCAGAATATTCTGAGTTTTATCTATCCCACCCTTGTTCCTGTTCTCCACTGCAGTGGGTAAAATGTAAAATTCCCAGACTGGAGTCTGCCCTGGAACCACTGCCCCTGCAGAGCTCAAGGGAATGCTGCAGGTCAGTCAGCTCCCAACTGACTATGCACTGGTAGGGTCTGACAAGCCTTTTTCCTGTCATATTTACTGCTATCAATACATCTAATGCCATAATTCCATCAGAGGTTCTCTCAGTAGTCTCATCAAGTCCATTACTTACTGTTAAAGAACTCCTCATAGTCAGTTTTCTCCACACAGCATGTGTACATGCGCAGCGCTGCCACCTTGATCTTCTAAACAAACAGAAAAGACAACACTTTAAGTATATATGTACATATATACATATACATAAAAAAAGCATAAAGTCTATATATCAGAGCTAGTGAACACTACTGGGTTTGTTAAACACACTCTCATTCTCTGAGACTTCCTCTGAGAACCACAATCACTTGAGGCTTGCAGGAGCACATTGAATTATTTGGCCTGCCAGGAATGTCACAAGTGTAATGAACATTGTCTTGAGGGAGATAATTATTAAATGGCTCCTTGAATATTTTATCAAACTATATTTGGAACGATATCAAATCAATTTCTTTATTGTTAGGGTGGTCAGGCACTGGAATATTGCCCAGACAGGTGGTGGAGTCACCATCCCTAACGGTGTTTAAGAGGCATCTGGAGAATAAGGTTTAGGGGTGAGAGCAGTGACAGGTTAATGGCTGGACTTGATGCTCTTAGAGGTCTCTTCCAGCCTTGATGAATCTATGATTCTAATACTTGATAAAATTACAGAAGAGTAAATTAAATGGCTTTTCTTACAGAGACTCCAAGACCCCAATTCCTGGTTTCCTCCAATACCTCTAAGTGATATACACCACTGAGTGTTTTGTCCAATTTAGATTTTAAATACTATAGAAGTCACATACCAGACATGTCCTAAAAATAGGTTTTCTTCTCTCTAGAAAAACTGAAACTTGACTAAGCCTCACAAGTGAGAGAGGAACTCCAAATGCTGAATGGCATGAGGTACACCCAGGGGCTTTGGCACTTCTCATTTTGTTCTTGGCTTACCACTGCACCCAAAACACCTCCAGCACATCACTTCCAACACAGACACGTGCTGAATCTTCAAAGAGCACAATAACTGACAGCAAAAATCTTTAAGAGAAGAGCTGTCAGCCATTCCTGTTTGAGAAAGAAAACTCCAGAGCCTACCCCTCTTCCTAAGGCAGGACGCAGCAGTGGGTTTGGATTGCTTTGGTTTGGCTCATTTTTAATGCTGTATACTGGGATAATCTCAGTGCTCACTATATTACAGGGATGAGCACTCTGCTTGCTATACAGCAGCTTAATCACTAAAGCATTTGTGTCTCCTCCAACCAAAAGGAGAATAGAGAAGTAGCAAGTGATGGCTGAGGAAACACAGGAGCTCATTGTTTTTCTTATTTAGTAATCTCAAGCTTCTGTCAAAAATCAAATCTACATCTACAAAATAATTTACACTGCTCACTAGAGCTGTGGAGGTTTCCCTTTGAAAGAAAACACTTCCTGGCCTGGGAGCAGAGATGTCCCTGGTGAGAGCAAGTGCCCCAAAGCAGGCATTGCTACACATTAAAAACGTGTTGTAAAGAACAGCCTCAGCAATCCGTCCCTTAAGTAGGCAGGTAACAAAGGAGGAACCGCTGAAATTTAATCATGGAAGTTTTAGGGTGTAGAAGAGGTATGGGGGAAGGGAAAAGAAAATGGGAAAGGGCAGAGAAACATGAAGAAACTTCCCTAAGATCTCCTAGAGAGCACTGGCAAGGCCAAAAGTGAACTCAGGTCTCTTGAGCCCTAACCACAAAATAACTCTCTCCCAACACAAGATCCCCAGCCAAAAGCAGGCAGTAAAGAGCAGCAATTAAGGAGCATTCTGAATCAACACTTAGAGCTAACAAGGATCTTTATTACAACAATATGTACACAAGCACACAGGAGAGAAACTACACTCTCCTGAGGTTTAGTATCACCTGATTAAAGCAGTGGACTTTACCCAAAATACCTAAACCCCTCACGTGTCAGTTGTCTTTGCTTTACACTTTGTGAGGAGCAAGATGCAATCAGGAACAGTCTCAGATCTTGGAGGTGCACTTTGCCTTGCACATATTCAAAGCACTTTAAATTTTTATTCTTTTTAATCCTTTTACTCCAAGAACTACTTTGCACTCCAACACAACTGGGCTCAGCCCTTCCTCCACGCTGCTTTTTTCTCTGTCCTTTATACCCTGTCCTAGTTCAGAGCAAAGAAATGATGAATTTCATCTGTCTTTCCTTCTGCACAAGGAACTGAATTTGTCCCTTAGAAAACTGCTCTCATTTAGTCAGTGTTAACAACTGCTTTAGGAAAGGGATATTTAAAAAGAAAAGGAGAAAGAGAAGGACCTATTTGTGACTGAGCAGTGACACAAACAGCCATCACACCATCTCTCGCTACTGCTTCTTCTGTCTCAGAGATACAGATCTCTGAAAGAGAGCTCAACAAAACTCAAAACATCAAAGAGCCTCAAAAAAAGAAACAAGTTAGACTAAGTCTCCACAGTCCAGAGAAAGACTAAGATATTACAGAATATATGAGTCTATAAAAGCATCAGTGGAAGGCAGAATATGAATATAAACTCTAAGGAAAGAATAATCACCTTTTTTTTTTTTAAGTACAACATGAAAAAGCATCAACTAAAACCAACTTCTTCCAGCATGGGGCCTCAAGAGCTGCAGCTCCCTGACACTGAATGCCATGGATGCTATCAACAAGAGGAGTTCCAAGTGCAAGTTATAGCAAAGAAATCCATCAATAGGTACTACACAAAACTGTGGTTCCACACAGGAAGTCCTGAAACAGACAACTGATGTAGGCTGGAGGAGCACGTGACACACGAATCACAATGTGCTTTATTGTCACTAAATCTGTCCAAGGTGACAGCAATTAGCATTATTAGGGACAAGATAGTGGTCTCTGTGGGTGTTTGACTTGCACAGTGAGGCTGTTACTATGATCCTTGGTGCACAAATGAAGTGAAAAATAAGATATCTGGAGAAATTCAAGGCAGCTTTAGAATCTACAAACCAAACAATATTGCTACTCATGTCAGTGATGGCAATGCACAGATCAAGGGAGTTCAAACTATGGATTATTGTTCCTTACAGTAGAAAACAGGAATTTACATGGGGAATAATTCAAACTTTTCCATTAAGTACTGCTCCTACTATAAGACAAAAAAAAAAGTGTATGTGGGTTTTCTGCTTTTTAGAACTATCAACCAAGCCAAAAAACTACTAAGTGAGTGCTTTACCCATCTACTGTACTTGAGTGGTCCTGTGAAGCCCATTGCTTCTATTATCCTGGTGAAAGCTCCCACTTTCTCCTCAGATGGCTGCAAGGAATCTTTTGCAGAATGCTGTAAAATGGAAATAGCACATATTTGAGTCTCAGCAATTAAACCTGACAAATCAGTTTGGTTAGAAAAGCTACAGGTTTAATAGAGAATGTTAGGGGGTTTTGTTTACTGCCTTTGTTCAACAAACAAATACATGTTGAGGTCACCTCTGAAGATATTTCACTGGCTTTCCTATGTGACATTCTTTATGTTTATGAATGCAAACACTGCATAGCCACTGTGGTAGAAACATCCCACTGGATGCTCAGACTCAAATAGTCTGTACAAAACCCAATATACAGCTTCTATCCTAGATTACCACATTCTTTCTAGGTGTGTGTCTTTACCTTGAGAGCAGCCCTGGGAGAAGGGAGTTGGGGGTGACAGCTGGTGACAAACTCCCCATGAGCTGCAGTGTGAGCTCACAGTCCAGAAACCAACCAAGTCCTGGGCTGTATCCAAAGGAGTGTGGGTAGCAGGTCAAAAGAGGTCACTCTCCTCCTCTACTCTGGTCTGGTGAAGCCCCACCTGGAGTGATGCCCACAGTTCTGGTGTCCCCAACATAAGGAGGACATGGAACTGTTGGAGCAAGTCCAGAGGAGACCACAAAGCTGATCAGAGGACTGGAGCAACTTCCCTACAAATTACTCCTAAATTCTACCATAAGATAATGATCCAACCCTGGCAGCGTTCAAGGCCAGGTTGGAGAAAGCCTTGAGCAACCTGCTCTAGTGGGATGTGTCCCTGCCCAGGGCAGGAGGTTGGGACTACATGATCTCTAATGTCCATTCCAACTCATTAACATACTATGATAAGTCCATAACTTCCCTCCAGCCAGGTAATGATAGGAAATGCTCAATACAGAACTTGTGTCCAACAACCACTTCTGTACCAAACCCACTCAATCAACTTTCATCTCCTCCACAGGAACAAAAACCACACTGAAGCTCCAGTGAATCCAGGCAGAACTTCACTACATGCATCTTATTTACAAATTAATTACAAAGTCTCCTCCAGTACAGGTTCTTCATTATGCAGAGGAAGTTAAGTTAGAATTTAACTTGTTGGAGCAAATCCAGAGGAGGCCACAAAGCTGATAAGAGAACTGGAGCAACTTCCCTAGAAGGATAGGCTAAGAGAGTTGGGGCTGTTCAGCTTGGAGAAGAGAAGGTTGTGTGGAGACCTCAGAGCAACCTGCCAGGAGCTGAAGGGGCTCCAGGGAAGCTGCAGAGGGACTCTTGCTTAGGAACTGGGATGACTGAACAAGGAGAAATGGAGATAAATTGAACAAGAGAAATTTAGATTAGCTATTAGGCAGAAGTTATTTCCCTGTGAGGGTGGTGAGACACTGTCCCAGGTTGCCCAGAGAGGCTGTGGCTGCCCCAGCCCTGGTAGTGTTCACAGCCAGGTTGGCTAAAGCCCTGAGCAACCTGCTCTGGTGGGAGGTGTCCCTGCCCAGGGCAGGGGTTGGGGCTGGATGATCTCTAAGGTCAACTCCAACCCCTTAACATACTATGAAACTATAAACCTCCAACTTATTCAATTGCTGTCAACTCATCACTGAAACAATGACTGACTAACAAGCAGTCTTTTCCTAAGAAATGCTATGATTCTTGCCTCATTCTTCTGTGAGTCCACCTGGACCAACTCAGGAGATGGAAAAGGATTTAGGAAAGTAGTATTTGGTTCAGCCTATGGATAGAGGTCTGCAGCTCACCCTGCCTATGCCAGGACTGCAGCCAAATGCAATTAGATAGTCCAACAAATGTCTATAAATTCAGATTTAGAAAACACAGAAGTGGGAGAGAAGCAAGCAGGCAGCTGCATGGTGCTTAGTTGCGAACTGGGCTTTAACCACCACACAGAGAAAGAAAACTTCAGAAATGTGTTTTATAATTCACTCTAAACAAGTTCATCAAGACACTGCAAGGGCCATAAGCCCACCCCAGGCAGCCTTTCCTGCTCAGTCCCTGAAATGCAGTGCTTAAAGCAAACAATGTTGATTCTGACACCAAACATAAATTGAAACATCTGGGGCTCACCATGAATTCCAAACCACTTTCCCACCAGGAGTGCATAGTCAAGTTCACATTTCAAAGATGAGTAAGTACTTCTCTATTCAAAATAATGAGGTTGCAGTCCAAAAACCTACCTCAAACCTAGATTGTTGTAAACTGCATCCTCTCTGGTCCTAAATCCTGCCTGGCTCCTTACACCAAGGCTATTTTAACCAGGAAGCTCCCCAATTCATCTTACAACCCTTTTACCCCTCCCCTAGCCCTTTCCAACACAGCAAAAGCTAAGCCTTGAAGATCTTCATGCCACTCCTGGTTTGTTAGACCTACCATCATATCACCCACTGCTGTCCCAGATCTGCTCTGCAAGTGCTGCTTGCGCAGATATCAGAGAGCAGTGCAGGCAGGAACAGGGATTAGGAGGATCCACCCGGAGGGGCCTGGATTACAGCTTTAGCTCTGCCATTATAAATTGTACAATCCCTTTTATATGCTTCAATCTCCCTGTCTGCAACACGTTTCATAGTATGTTAAGGGTCTGGAATGGAGCTTAGAGATCATCCAGCCCCAACCCCCTGCCCTGGGCAGGGACACCTCCCACCAGAGCAGGTTGCTCAAGGCTTCAGCCAGCCTGGCTTTGAACACTGCCAGGGCTGGGACAGCCACAGCCTCCCTGGGCAACCTGTGCCACTGTCTCACCACCCTCACAGGGAAAAATACTGCCTAATACCTAATCTTGATTTCCCTCTTCCAATTTCTCCCCATTACTCCTTGTTCAGTCATCCCAGTTCCTAAGCAAGAGTCCCTCTGCAGCTTCCGTGTAGATTCATGCTCCAAAACACTTCTACTCCAAGACAAAAGGACAATAAATGTAGGAGATGCATAGACCACAAATTAACAGAACAGTATAGATAAACAGTAAATAAATTATCAGATAATAATTAGCTGCTATTAGAAGATTGCATAAAAATGTTCAGCGTTTAACAGGGAACAAAACTGCCATCACACATTATTCCCAAGCTAAAGAATCAGGAAACATCTGTCATTTCTCGTATGTATGGACAACTTCCATGCTTCCCTTTTAAAAGGTAGGAAAAGAACATCTGCCTCCAACACCAAGAACTACACCCCTTGACTTAGTTTCCTCACTGGAATGAAGCCCTCAGGGTTATCATTGAAAGCTTCACCCTGATAACCCAAATCTAACTGCACCTTCCCATGCTAACCCTTCATTTCAGGGAAAGGAATAAAATTCCTTCTCTAATTACTGGACCCTACATGTCCTGAGAAGTGTTTCGCTACCTGTATCTGTATAACCCCCAACAGAAACTCTGCTCACCTTACTTGTATTGTGAAAGGATCTGTTCTGCTGTGTGATGGCTCCATGGGCTTGAGTCAATCCACCATAGGATTTAGACAGTTCGAATGGCCCAGCCCTGTGTCTCTAGTGAAAATGATACAAGAAAAAGAAAGAAAAGCATTAAGAGACCATTGACCTAACTTGACACCAATGACCCTTAGTTTGCTTCCAAGTCAATTAGTTCCAGCTCATCCTGAAAAACTATCTATCACAAAAAGCACAAACTTCTGATCATAAGTGCTATAAAACAGCTGTGCATGCTTGGTGCTCCACACCATGCATATTCCAGTGTTCCATAAATGTGTTGATGGAATAGACTGGCAGAACACTCCACTCCCAGAAACCACAGGCTGTCTGCTTTGACTTTCTCACACTATTTCTAATTATGGCTTCTGTCGCTTAAGAAAGAATAATTCCTTTTTCTGACCTTGCAGGCAAACAAAGTTTATGCTATTTTTATCTACAACTTCATAGCCAAATTCCATTGTCTTTGTGGTCAGGACTTGAGAAAACACAAACCACAGGGTAAAAGCTACTGAATGCACTGGTGGCTCACAGTAAGCCTAACTTTGTCAGTAACTTACAACTGCTCATTTCCCTCTCAACTCCCTATACCCTATCCTGCTGGATATGGATTGGTGCTTTAATGGAAGGGTTGTGTCACAAAATCACTGACAATTTTCCCAGGACTGGAAGACTTTATCTGAGAAAAGACACTCAAGCCAAAGAGCTGCAGTGAAGTTTCTAAGTCTGTACATCATGGCTCTATGATACAAGTTGTGATACACAGGAGGAGGAGAAGTTTTACCTTCTCTTGTTTCAGTGCATGGAGAAAGGAAACACCAAGAGATACATTCGAGTTCTGTTCCAAGAGCATCTATTCGCACTTTTTTACCCCTTTATTATTAACAGCTATTGCATGATGCTCTAGTTGATTTACTGTGGACAGACAGACATACCCTGGCACTATGCATTCTGACACAGAACTGGAAGCCAAACTGCAAATCTACATGTTGTGCTGTGCTGAGTAAATCCATCAGTACTAGGAGTCCAAAGCACAGTGGAGACATCCTATAAAACAGAGTGTTCTGTAAAATAAAGTGCTAGAAATTACACGCAATTATGACTGGCTTGTTGTAGCTGCTTTGGGAAGTGACACCTACATTTGGACTTCTGCATTTAATCTCCTCATGACAGATCATTTGGATCTACCAAAGCCACAGTCTGTGTAACCAAGAGTGGGAACTCACCCCTTCAGCAGCACAAAGCTCTAGACCTGCCTTGATATTTCAGCAATACACAGTGAAGACATCACTTTTGGAAGCCTCTTCATTTAAAAAACATGACTTTTTCTTATTAATTCCATTTTATTTTTTTTTCCCACACTTCAGCATGCTCTGATATCCTTACCTGGAAAATACTGCAGAGCATCCATCTGCACTGGCCTGGGCCCGTGGCAGCCTGGAGTAACCCACTGCACACTGCTACCCATTGAGGTATTGCAGTCTGGCAGCTCTGCAAGGGAAATAAACAATGAGGAGAAGAACCCAAAAGGCAGAAACAGTTTCACTGCCCCCTGCTTCCACAAGTTTTACTCATTCATACAATAAGAACAACACGGACCTATGTCAGGGCAGATTTAGGCTAGATATTAGGCAAAAGTTCTTCTCCCAGGGGTGTTTGGGCACTGGAACAGCTCCCTGGGGCAGTGGTCATGGCCCCAAGGCTGACAGAGCTCAAGGAGTGTTTGGGCAATGCCCTCAGGCACAGGGTACATTGTTGGGGCGTCCTGGGCAGGGACAGAAGTTGGACTAGGTGATCCTTGTAGGTCCCTTCCAGCTCAGGATATTCCAGGATTCTAACAATCCTCAGACTAAACTCTCAACTTGTGCTTGACAGGAGTATAAATTTTGACTATAAAAATATTTTGTCTTCCAGTACAAGTATCCAACCCAAGTCTGATGGCAGAAACAGAGCTGTGGAAGGAAATGGTGGGCTGTCTACATCACAAAACCACACCATTTTTCTGTCTCTACAATGAATTCCAAGACTTAACAAGCATTCTCCAACTAACTGGATGAGCTCTAAAGGGCTGTCATCCAGCTCACAGTTTTTATGCACCTTTGTCTTACTTAGGCACAGTTAAGAATTTTAGTATTTCAAAAGCACATATTGTCCCAGTAATTTCCAGTGAAGGTAATTATTATCTGTAATAAAAATGTCAGCCTTACAGAAAAGAGGTGAGGTTTTCTTTGCATCTTTTCTGCAGTATTCACCTCAGTACAATATTTGCCTCCTTCATTAATGCCCTACATTAATACTGAAAACAGTGCAGATATTATGAGAATGGATATGCCTTTTTCTAAGCAAAATAGCTTCTTTTCAATTGACCACAAAGATAATTGAGAGGCTAAAGCATCCAACACAGGAGGGGAGGATTAGCTTTGGGAAAAGAAGACTTCAGGGAAATCTAATCAATTTGTACCAATCCCTGGGGAGGGTGGGCAGGAAAACTCCTTTCAGTAGTGCCTAGCGAAAAGACAACTATGAGAGCAGCAGATCTGCCCAGAGATTAGGAAGAACAGACACAAACTCAACTCCTCTTCCCTGTACCTGCACTGTCACTGCTGTCCCTCAGCTCCTCATGGAGCAGCACTTGCAATCCATGAAGAGAACTGATTAGAGGTGTTAAAGATTGTGAAGGGAGAGATGCTCTATGTGCTTTGTGATTAGTGTTCCTGTTATTACTCCTTCCCACTTCTACTGCAGCAAAACTACTCAGTTCCTGCCCTTTCTCCATAACATCACCACCTAGAAGTATGAAAATGATACATTTCTATCCAAAAAAACATTTCAGCTGAGTACCATGAAGTCCTTCTTGGGGTAATCCAGTACTCTGAAAGAAACAGTTTAACAAACACTTCAGTGAGAAAGAAAAGTTACCATTTTCTATAAACAGTTACTGTAAGATTCTAAGAATCCAACAGAACTTTTTGAGGCTTTTTCTCTGTAATATGAAGGAAAACATGCCCAGGTTGGGATATGTCTTAAGAGCTTCAACATACAGGGGTTTATAGGTGTATAAAAGCACAACTGCAGCAAAACTGGAGAGACATGTGAAAACATAAAATAAGCACATACACACTTAAAAGCTGAGATGTGATAAACAACCCAGTAACAGAGGAAACAGACATCAGCAGAAAGAAGGAACACCATGAGCTAAGGAGTTTGCTCTAAGCCAGCAACACTGCCTGCAGAGCACAGCATTCCTTTCAAGTTACAAGTGCTACCTTTGCTTCTCCACTGAGCAGAAAGAAAATGTACCAAGCCTAAACTGACCAGGACTACCTGGGAATAGTGTGCAGACACCTGCATTGACAAGAGAGAGATGAGAGAATATCACTATGGTCTTCTAACTCCTCTTGGCAACCACTAGAAAGCCTAAGGGAGCAGACAAGACCTTCTGGGTAAAACCAAGCTTATCACAGTGGCAGGATTCAGGAGAGCTGAAAAGTGTGGACAGTCACCAGGGCTGTATCATACACCATGAGCTCCAAATTAGGCTTGAAGAGAGAGTGGAAAACAAGAGTTTTCCTTATTTCCAGTAGAAAGAGACACAGAAAAGTTTGAAGACTTATTTTCATACAATTAGGCAACCACTAAATTCTAATGAAGCAGCTGCTGGGGAACGCCAAGGAGAAGCAGTGCTTGAGCTGCAGCATGTTGCTGCTCTCACCACTTCCTGCTTCTCTGACTGCAAAGTAAGACACTTCAGGTCACAAAAACAGCAAATAACATCTCCTCCCCTCTAAAGAGAAATGTTTCTGGTCAGGCTGAAAAATTGAATCAAGCTTACTTTGCCACATGAATGCCAGCAGCAGCTGGGTGAGAAGTTGCCCAGGGAGGGCAAGTCCTTGCCCTCCTAAAGCAGGTTTTCATTGCCAACCATGCCCTAGGGGCATCACAGACAGCTGAACCCACCTGGTGCCTCACTCTACTTCTCTCCCTGCTCCCCTCCTGCCTGATGTCCCCTTCCCTGCCTGCTGGTGATTGCCTCTATAATGCTTTGATACTACACAAAAACGTATTTATGCTGCCACAGTTGTGCTGCTCCAGCATTTGGATCACAGGGGTCAAAAAAAATGCTGAAGGAGGCAATGGAAGGTAACAGAGCAGAGACATGAGCACAGAGAAAAGGCAGCGATGCAGAGAAGGAACTCAGGCTCACTGCATTTCAGCTGCTCTCAGGCAGGTTTGGGCTTGGTGGCTTTCACCTTGAGAGCACAAAGGACAGAGCTCACCTGCTTGTGAAACCACGCCCTGAGCCATCAGCTCCCAGAACTTGGGGGGTTAATCTCCTAAGTGGATATTGCCCCCTGAGCAAATGTCTTTCCTACTCCTGAGAGACCTGTCCCCACTGGCTATCTCTGTGTTTGTGTGGCGGCAGATTCTCAGATCCAGGTACAACACCACCTTTTCCAGACTACATGTTAAACACGTGAACTTCTGCAGAGACTTAAAGAGTAATAGAAAGAAAAATACACACAAATGCATGAGAGAGAAGAAAGGAGTGATCAGAAATACACTCAATTCACAGCAACAAAACTCTTCCAATTAGAATCACGAAATCACTAGGTTGGAAAAAACCCTCTAAGACCATCGAGTCCAACCCTTCCAAGTCCATCCCTAACCACGTCCCCAAGTGCCACATCCACGAGGCCTCTGAACCCTTCCAGGGATGGTGAGTCCACCACTGACCTGGGCAGCTGTACCAGTGACACAGTAACACAGGAACTGGAATCTGTACACCATACTCACTATCAAAGACCTCTGGAGCACGAGGGGAACCTCCAGGCAGGGCAGTGCCCAACCCACAGGGCACACACCGAGCCCAGGGCAGATCCACACTGACACGCACGTGTCAGCCCCAGCCAGGAGCCCACACCCGCGCACCACCCTGCTGCAAACACCGATCGAGGGGGCAGCGGGGCCCGCTGCGGCACCAGGCAGCGCTGCCGGGTGAGGGGCCGCGAG